CAGGTGCCTGGGTCAATGCTGAACACCTTCGGAGAAGCTTTGAAGTTGTCCCTGAAGCGCTTTCTTTGACCACCTTGCTAGCGCTTTCCTTCGCTTAGTTGGCCATACAAGAGTCGTTTAGGGATGCGGTGGTCTTCCATTCTGTAGACGTGACCTGCCCATCGCAGCTGGGACTGCATTAGGATTGTGTGGATGCTTTGCAGACACGCTCTTCGAAGGACTTCAGTATCTGGTATTTTGTCTTGCCATTTGACATTTAGTATTTTTCTCAGACATGTCATGTGGAAGTGGTTCAGTTTCTTTGCATGTTTACTGTACACTGTCCATGTTTCTGAGGCATAGAGCAATGTAGGGAGGATTACGGCTCTATAGACCCCTAGCTTTGTGTTTGTGGTGATACCACGTCTGTTCCAGACATTTTTAGACAGTTTTCTAAAGGATGCACTGGCCTTGGCGATACGCAGGTCGATTTCATTGGAATACTTTTTATCTAGTGGCAAGCCACTAAACCTCAGGAAAATACTCCTTTACATACCAGCAAATTTTCGTAACAACACTTTATTAATGTTTTTTTTTTAAAAAGGTTAAATTATTTTATTTTAATGTTAGCTTCAACATTGTTTTTTTAAATTAACATTTACTTATCAATATATTAATTTATGTAGATAAAATAAACTATAATCTAAAAGACGTATTACCTAGTTTGTTTATCAAATCATAAACGTTTACACCTGCAAGATATAGCAATAGAAACCTTCCAATTACAGCAACAGAGTAAGAATTTTAAAATAGAAAATGGGATTCCCAATCTCAATTTCTAATGTTGTTTCTGCTCTTAAATTAGAAGCAAGCTAACCATAATTTGTCTATATTTAATTTGCCAGCTTTAAGGTTGAAGAATTTTTTTATTTTGTTTCAGTGCACCTTAAGTTTCTTCTATCCACCTGTATCCCCAACCCCCCTATACCGCCCCCTATTGTGCCCAGCACCCCCCTACTTCCCCTTTGGCTCCCAGCGCCCCACAATTTCACGAAATTGCCCCCAGGGGGTGTTAGCACCCCCGTTGAAGACCACTGCTCTAAACTATCAAATTAGTTTCTTATTATTACTTTTAGTATTGTGAAATTTGCATACCAAATTTGAGTGCAGGTCTATAGACAAATGATGATATATTGGCAGTGTATTAGTTTTGTGCCAAACAACATTTTAGGTTTCTGTGTGTCTACTACAATAGACTTACCTTTAGATTAATAGTAGAAATTAGAACTCTTTTGGAGCTGTGTCGAAAAAGAAAAAAAAAAGTAAAAATGTTAATTAGTTTAGCTTCTAGCCAGCCCTTGTTCTGTTGTTGCATACCATTTGCTATTCAGTTTGCTACAAAATAGAAATTATGAAATTAGCCTTATAGTAGTTTTGTTAGGCCCTAAGTTTAAATGTTTTGTACTTTGATGGCTTTGAATATCTGAGTGATTGATTAATAACTACAATTTGGCTGGTCCAAAGACAAAATAGATTTCATAAGAGGCAATCTAGTCCGTTGTTTGTTGTATAATAAAAAATAAATCATTTGTATTTTGTAGTCTGACTTTTAATAAAAAAATGACATAATTCAATCAAGTTTACTTATTTTTCATCAAAACGCTCTAGATAAGAGTAAAGTCATGTATCTGCAGTGAAGTGTCGATTCATAATGATTAAAAAATTTCTTGGATTATTTTGTAATTGACTCTTTTCATTTTAATTGTAGATCTATATTCTTTAATAAATCCTTTCATTTTTTTTTTCTTGCTATTTATTTTGTTTTGTGTTTTTTTTTACTTTTTTGGTTTGTTTTTCTCCTTCTCCCAAACTTATTCTAAATACTAACCACATGCCTCTAATTACTTCTCAACATGTTGGTGAAGGAATGTTACTGTTGTTTTCTTTTAAATAATTAATATGCTTATTTCTGGGTATTATTTAGTATTATGTTTATGTTTTTTTATTAATTTTATTTCTTGGACTTTGATATATTTGTTAAGAAAATTCTGTGTATAAAGTTTATTTAGTTTTAAACTCTTAGGATTTCTTCCCCTTTTTGTTTCATCTAGTGATTGTGTTGGAATATGGCGACCTCGCTCATCTCTAGATCTCACTGACACTTCAGACACAAACGACGATTCAACGACTGTCTCAGCTTGACTTACGGACCAGTCTGGCCATGGTGAAACACAGCTCCAAGCTGAACAGTGGCCAGATTTTATTCTGTGTGTTCTTTCAGTTTACATTGTTTTCTACTTTATTTTCATGTCAAGCTACAACTGAACCTCTACATTACTTAATAAGCTTCTAGTTTTGTTTTATTTATGTTTTTGTCTTCCATTTGAAGCATTCCTTTCCACCAGAGTAATATTGAGTCATGAAAGAAATTTCTTATATAAATAATCTTACATTGTCTGTAAATGAGTGTAAATTTGTTATACTGAGTAAATTCTGTGCAGCTAAAAGGATTTATGATCTCCTAAGAATAAAATTATATAGCACCATTCTTTGGGGACAAAAAATAGCCTATATTTATATTCCGTACATTTCTTTTTAAAAAATGAAAATACAAAATCATGAATGTTTCCAGTGTTTATACTTTCATGAGCACCCCATGGTTATTTCTAAGGTCTACACAATTATCTTTTGAATTTATAGCATAAGAATGAGATATTAAGAGACTAAATTGATTTAAATCATATCTTAATAAAATCTCTAGAGATTATTCATATTATATTTCATATAAATATATAAGCATTGAACCCCTGACCTCAGTGTGTGAGAAATAAAATGTTGCAGTCAGTGGCTTGTGCTTTGTTTAGGTGTCAAGTTGTCTACAAGGAACACACCTGTGATTGACCACATCATACCTCATCATTATCCTGTTTCATTGCCCTTTCATTTGACCCAGACACCAAGTGGTAGTCCTAGCACCTGAATCCATATCTTTTTTTATTTTCTGTAATCAACAATGTGCAATTATTTGAATTATAAAAAAAAATCTTTGTAGTTTGTTGCGGCTTTGTCTAAAAAATGTTTGATTTTCTTTTTGAAAAATTGAGAAAAAAATGATATTATCAGCAGACAACTTTTAACTAATGTAAATAACACTTGCTCATGAAGTCTGTACTCATCTTTGTTGACAACATATCACATCTTCTCATGATTTCTTTGTCTCTGGCATTTTACTGATTCCGCTAGCTGTTAACCTTTCTCTATATTTGCACTGTGATATTTTTTATTTGAAGTGTTTTAAAAAAGAAAGAAATTTATATTTATGTATAAATATTTCTTATTTTTACTTGTGGTCTCACATTTTTTTGAAAATCTGGACACTATATTCCAGTCATGCACATTGTGTCTTCATGTACAACAAACAAATAAAAAAAAATGAAAGAACCATTGAAAAAGAATTGTTACATGTATTCATTAACAGATAATACCAGACATAATTTTTTTTATAAAGCTTTTCTATTTGTTTTGTATGTGTGTTATTAGATCCTTTAAAAAATGTGTGTTATTAGATTCTTTAAAAAATGCAATCACTTTGAATTTACCAAATAAACCTTTACATTACATCTTGTTAAGAAATTTTTTATTTGCAAAACTTGACTGACAAGACATATAAATAATTATTTCACCTCTGCCAAAGTATCCATTGTTTTTCACCAAAATTTCTTGAACCACTAACTCAATAGAATTTGATAAAAATAAAATAATCAAAAACTTGACCCCTTTTTTTTTATTTTTAAAATCTGGTTGTACACATTTTCATTTCTTGTGAATTTTGTTCCGCTTTTCCTGAGTTGTTCTTGAGTTCTGCTGTATTTCATGTGTCATCTCTTGAAAAGTAATCAAGATCAGTATATTTCCTTGTCTGTCTTAGCAAATATTTATAATGTTTATTTATTACTAGTGCTGGATAATAAAAGTTCCTAGTTGGAAATGTACAGCAAGTTTAGAGATGTCATTTTATTTTTTTTAGTTAGTAAAAGTAGTTATTTTAATGTGTATTTCTGTAAAAAAAAATTTCATGACATGGCATTTTAGCTTTTTATGATAAATCATGAACATGTGTATCTTCAACATTTTAAGCCAACAATTCGTAGTCTAAAATAATTAATGCATTAATTAATAATACTCAACTTCTTGTAATTCTTTTAAAAGACCAATTGTCCATGTGTCTTGTCTTATTCTTCATGAATTTCTGTTAAAAATACAAACCAACAATCAGGATGTCAAATTTCTTGTTGAAGTGATAGACAAACATTCCACCATTTACTCATCTTGTTAGCAACCTCATTTCTCTTATTTATACATCATATGTTATATTTATTAATAACTTTGTCCTTTATTGTTCCACGAATATGTTAAAATGATATACAGATTATACTCTTTATTACTGAAGTAGAAATATTCCAGTGATTATGTAGAAGTATGTGGACGCATGATTGTGTGTGTATAAATAAAATAATTTGAAGTGTTTAACTGTCAAATTTATTTCGTCACTTCATCGGCAGATGTAGTTTTCTTTCTAGGTGCAGATAATGTAATATGTCCCTGTCCAGCAGTTAAATTCCATTGTAATTTGTTCAAATGCTAAGTAGTGTGTTGAGCTCAGCAAGAGAGAGAAAAAAGTCTTATGATTTGAGATAGCTGTGTACCAGAAATGTCTACAGCCCTTACTGTTCATCAACTGGTTAGCTTCTTTGTACAATGTATGACCTCAGAATGTCATTTCTTTCCAAAAGGTTTGATCTCCTTGTCAAACAATACAACATATTTGTATTTCCTTCTTTGTTTGTTTGTTGTTTTACATGTTGGAATTTTGCAGATAGATAAAAGATTTTTTTTTTTGTTCAACTAGATCTTAACTAATCCAGCCTGGATATATCCATTATGTAGGAGCCCCTTGTCTTGATGGATATGTCCATTACGTAGGAGCCCTTTATCTTGATGGATCTATACATTATGTAGGAGCCCTTTGTCTTGATGGATATATACATTACGTAGGAGCCCTTTGTCTTGATGGATATATACATTACGTAGGAGCCCTTTGTCTTGATGGATATATTGTAATACATTACATACAGGACTGAATTTTCTCTCTGATCAAGTAATTAAAATTTGTGAGATTTCAGTGAATTTCTTTAGTCTACTTTGTAAACATCATTCTTGTAGCAGCTCTTTTTTTGTAATTTTAATTTCTGCAATTAAGAGGTTAACTATTGTCTTATAATGTGATTTAAAACATAACTTGAAGATCTGTAATTTTGTTCAGCAAATAATCCATAGTTAAAGATCAGAATTTGTGTAGAAAAAAAAATACATTGTAGATTCCAGACCATGGTCCACAGGCAGACAACAAAATGCCTTACATATGGATTTAGGTTCACCAAATGTTTATATGAAGACAGAATACCAAAGTTTCATTTTAAATAAAATTAAAATATTTTAAATTAAAATTTTAGACATATGAGCTGCCAAATCTGCAGTGTTGTTTTTTTTTAACTCTTGGACATTGTGTAGCCATTACGTTGTTGTTTGATAAATAAATTTTATTGTCATTTACACTGTCCAGTTTAGATAGATCTATGTGTAGACATAGTCTTCATGAAATTAGATGTATGTTCTACAAGTATGAATAAATTATTTTTTATCTAGTTTAATTTTCAGTTAGTTTTGATGTAAGGGAGAACATTTGAAAACTTGAATCCTTGTGAAATAAAATCAGCCATCCTGTAGTGTATAAATGACAACCAGACTATTTTATATTGATTTTTTAGCAATCTTTTTTTCCCTTTAACCAATGTTTGACTGATGACCCTCTTTGTTTTTGACTATATGATCATTGTATATTTATTTGTCCAAGACTTATGTATTAGGGTGTGGACTACACTGAGAAAGGCATTATCACTACCAACAATACAGTGTTTTTCTCTCTAAACTTTGTGTTTCAATGTTGCTGACTAGAGTCACTTTCATTTCTACACCAAAATAAACTTTGTCAATTACAATAAATCATTCATATTTTTCACAATTGAAAATGTTTGTTAAACTTTTTGTTTTACTTTAATTGAGCTGCAAGTTTTAAAAAAAAAAAAAAAACAATAAGGACATTAAAAATTTGGAAGGAGTAAAGGAATAAAATATGGATTTATTTTTTTTTTTCAGCTTTTGTCAATAGACATAACAATTTTATTGGAGAGGTGGGGGGGGGGGGGAGCTCTACTGTGAGATGATCAGAGTTGTAATGTTTGAAGGTATTAGGTTGAAAAAAGTTGGACAATACCTTGCTGACTACCAATACCAAAGCCCTAGTCTACCGGATCTGTGTGCTATTACGGTAGTGAAACATGGTCAACCTACTCATGTCAGGAAAAAAACAAACTCTTCAGTTGGTCTTTAAGGTGAATTTTTAAATAAGGTGGCAAGATGAAATAATCAATGAGGAACAGCAGGATGCCAGGACATCCGCGCTGTTATCATCAGCAGACGCCTTGGCTGGCTTGATTATGTTCATAGAATGCCACAAGGTCGACTTCCACAAAACACATTCTGTACCCGTATGTTGATCTAATAGAAGGCAGTAAAGCCACTGGTCGTCCACATTAAAGGTATAGGCTACTGATGTATGCAAACGCGACATGAAGCTCTTCGACACTAACAGCTGGAAAAAAAAGTCACTAAATTGATCCACGTGAAGAGCAAGCTTAAAGGAATATCCTGGATTGCAGATGGCATATTCAACAAAAGTAGAAAGAAGGATACAAGTGTAACAGCGCCTCTGGTGATTACAGATGCCCGACCTGTGGCCGCCGCTGTGTGTCGGGATTGACCTCTTTATTTATACAAGAAGTTGCAAAGGGAAAAGATCGCCTATTGAGACGTAACATGCCACAGAGTCCTGGACTAGCAGTTGTGATCTGATGTGTGGCTAATATAGAATTGTCCCAATAGTTGTTAATGTGCACTTTAGGCCTACAAGTAATGTTAGTGTTATGTACATTTTACAAGTTTCGGACTTTCCTTTAAAAAGATGAGTGTGTCTTAGTCTAAACCTCTTGCAGAAGCAGGTCTAGGGTTCAAACTAGGGACCCTGGTGATGACAGTCCAAAGCACAAATGACTTGACTAGGCAGCCTTTTTTTTTTCTCCAGAGGGATGCCCTGCGTTTTTTAGAAGCTCAAGGTATACCTTATGATGCATACTGTCTATGGCTCGTGCACACTTTAAGCATGCCATGTTTTGATAAGGCTCTAAGAATCAAGATGAACGACACTGTAGATGTGTAAATGATGTACAAAGACTAAAGAAAAGGCTGACTTTTTTTTCTTTTTTTTTAAATTTCTACCACACACACACAAAAAACGCAAATCTGAGAATGTTCAGCTAAGCAAAATCCAAAAAGGGAAAAAATTTTAGTTCGATGCCTAACTTGAGTAAAAAGCATGCAAATTTGACAATATTCAAAGGAAATAAGCGAAGGTGTAAACGAGTTGAAAGTTCACTGCACTTCATAGAGAATGAAGCTTCACGGGGGGGGGGGGGGGGGGGGCGGTATGTCCTCACCGCGCACCAACGTTTTATTTTGCTTTTTTTTTCCTTGCCTCTTGATGTGTGTGTGTGTGTATTGTACGTCATTAAGTCCATTACTGTTTCTCATTGACATAAATGACCTCCACCTTTTGGTTATATGTAGACCTACATGATTGCATAATATAGGCATATTGAAGAATAAAAATAAATAAATTTTCCAAAGAGAATTAGATGAATCACAGACATAGAAATCAAATCGGACCCCCCCCACACACACACACACACTTAGGAAACTTACAGCTCGCGCTCCCCACCCCACCCCCCGACAGCCTTGCTGAACATCCTGCCTCTCCAATTCTATTTTAAAACAACAACAACACTTTCTAGCATTTAATAAAGCTTGTCTTCGAGCCCGAAGATTAATGAGGAGCACAGTATTTCACCTACATATGCAGCCCCAGCTGCGACCTACATATTTTGCTACACCCAGCGCACATACAGTGGCGTAACTAAGGAAGGGGGAGAATTTTTAAATCCCCCCGGGACCCCACCAAGGGGGGGGGGGCCCCAAATGGGTGTCCGAAATTTATTTGTAAATACATAAATTTAATATATTTGATTGACAAATAGTGTCAACGGGTGTCTTTTTTTTTTTTTCAACATTTATGGATTAAATTTATCACAAGGACTAAACCTAGATCTAGGTCTATAAGTACGTTGACTTAGTTGACATTTTAAAAATATTTTTTCCCACAGAAATCAAAGTTTTTTTTAAAGTTAGTTTTACATTTTAAACTTTGTTGCCACGAATAAAACTGCATGATATACAGCGAATTCTAGGTATCTTGTTACCTTTACTAATAATAGATCTAAATGGCGAGTATTTTATGGCTACACTAATTAACATTGAAGCAAAATTTACAGAATCGAGTATAACAGATCCAAAAGTTATTCTTAATAATGCTAGAATAGTCCATTATTCGGGTTTGGCGTCTATAATTTCAGAATTTAACTTCAAACTCGAGTTATTACCCCTCTATTCATCTTTCCTCAATCCAATGGAAACTCTCTTTTTATTTCCATCTAATCCTTTTACTTTCGCACAAAATATAAACAACAAACAATAACGTAATATCATATAATATTATCACACCCTTCTATTTAATGTTCTTAAGAGTGATATGGACTAGCAGGGCCGGCCCTAGCATTTGCGGGGCCCTATGCCAAACGGATCGCGCGGTGCCTAGTCTGGGTAGGGATGAGCATAATGTCAATATTATTTTTTTTTATTAGAAAATAAGCCTACTTTCGTCTTTGCAATAAATTTTTATCAAATGAAAACTCGCAATGCCACTTTTTATTTATAGGCACCCCAAAATGTCAATTTCGTCTATTCTTCAGGAGATTCGAATAAATTTTTAAAAAGTTCAGGACTTTATCGTATATTTTACCTTTTCATGAGATTTCCTGGAGGCCCTGAAAAATCAGGAGGTCGCGAAAACCCTGTTATTTTATATACGTTATAATGGTTTAATTTAATAATGTACACTTAGAATTAGCGCAGGTCCTATGACAGCGCGGGGCCCACTGCGTCCGCATAGGCTGCAGTGGCCTAAGGCCGGCCCTGTCTACTAGGAACTTTAACACTTCTGGTTGTCTTGACTGGCACAACAAGTTCTCTAGACGTTGGTCTATAACTGTCAGTTTCGTTTGTTCCAACAGTTTGCAGTTCATTGTCTCCATCGGTATCATAATACCCAGAGATGTCTTCATCGAAACTCTTATTCAAAAAGCGTTGATTTCTTCTGTATGTTTTTCCGTTTGTCTTTATGATGTAAGATCTGAGTGCTGAATGTTTTTTTTATGACAACTGCTTTCTGCCATGTTTGACCTAGACGAACTCTCCGTCAGAATAATCTTTAGGTAGTCTTGCTTTTGCATTGTATTTCACTTTGCTTTTCATCTGTCGTTCGTTGAGTAATGTCTCTGCATTTTCAGCTACCGATGGTTTCAATAGTTTGGGATCTGTTGGAATGATTCCCTGAGTCTTCTACTCGTCAGCAGTTGTGATGGTGAATACGGCAGTCCACTTATCGGAGTATTTCTATACTCGAGCATAACGAGATATGGATCTTTCCCACTTTTGTATGCTCTGAATCCTTTTGCTTGCAAAAGAAAACATAAACAACCAACAATGACATAATACCATATAATATTAGCACAGATCTTCTTCATGCAGAGGAAAATTAAGATTTTTTTGCCTATCTTGAATTCTGGTCAAAGCTCTTGTGCCCAATTACTATAGTTCAGAAGAAACTACAAAAGTCTGGACTGCATATACGGGAAGCTGCTAAAGAAATTAGTACCCTTTCATGCTTTCTGTAAAATGATGAGAAACTGACAAAAACTCAAACCATCGAAAAAGCAAAAGAAGGTAGTGAATACTATGGATTCCCTGTAATCAAAACAACCAGAAGAAAGAAAAGACTTGATGGGAAGTTGAGTTCTAATGTAGGACTGTCAATAGAACTGCAATTCAAACGTGTTGCGACAGATTTCATATGGAGATGAAGGGCAGATTCCAAAGGCTGGAAAGAAAATGAATACCTTTGGGTTTCTTCGTGAACCAAGACACCTGTTAGATGAAGACCTACTTATGACAAACTGTGCTACTTTTCCTGTTTTTATGATGAAATAAATGGCAAATCGCTTTTTCAATGATGTCATTGATGCACGAGCACTTTTCATCAACAAACCAGTAATACAATCACCAATAGACATATTGAGGAAACAGGCTTCATATGGCAATTACGTGTGCTCAAACTTTGCAACCTCCTCCGAATACTGCTAACTCAGGCCACTTCCATTACGTCATGTGAGAGATCATTCTCAAAGCTCAAGTTCATCAAAAGCTATCTCAGGAGCACAATGACACAAGAAAGGCTTATCATGGCTTTAATGTCAGTGAAGTCACAAATACTAGAAAGTATCGATGTAGTTGATGTTATAGATGTCTTTGCTGCACAGAATGCACGACGTGAAGCGATATCAATTTAGATTTGTCACTTGTGCATTATTTAACTAATAACAAAGGTATTATTCATTAAAAGATTGCAAACGTTTGAGCATATGGTCCTATGCCTGGTTTTGAGAAACACTGTACAGTTAGAGTTAGACCATTATAAAAAAAAAGACAAGAGGTAAAACTTAGATCTTCTATAAAAGTGTTTCCCAAACTTTTCCTTAACCAAACACTTCGCACATTCTGAGTATTTAGCGGATCACTTCTTATTATTTAGAGAGATTTATTCACGTGGTGACCAACTAGTAGTTCGTGGGACACCTATTCAGGCCTCGCGGAACACTTTCTCAGAGACAGTTTGAAAAAAAACCTGATCAGGAATAACCTACATCAGTATGTTCTGCTTTACCTATATCACAGACCTATATGCAGATGCTGCCGCCTCTTTCGGTTTATCTATAAACCTCGGGAAAACAGAAGTCATGTTC